AATGATAGGATAAAGACCTGGGCATGTCATGTTGGATTACGTGGGGTATGAGTTGCCTCTAAGCTTGTCCATCATATGGTTTCATTACATCTCCCCCACTTCATATACAGATGAGGGGGAGGCATTGCCTTCCAACCAGTGTCCTTGGGGAGGTGTGTGATTGTATATCCTGCACGTTCTTTGTGTTTTTACAGCCCCATTACTCATGGGGGGCGGGAAGCAGGGGAAGGTTCCCTGTTCATTATTTTTAACAAAACTGTTATGGGCTTTCCAGACTCAATCATAGTGTGTCGTTGTTGCCATGCCTGCATCGCTAGATCACATCTGTTCCTGAGCTGCACTACAGCAGAGGAATTTATAAAATGGACCACGGCCACTTGGTTTTTATCCAGACAGTGCTGGTGGTGGCACCACTGGGTTTCTGAAAGACAACAGTCAGCGGACACCCCTCGTGACACATCCCAACCTAACATCTGCCACAAGGGGAAGAAGTTTTGAGGGAGTGCCATTTTGTCATGTTTCCATATGGTTGAGTGTTTCTTTGGGCTTCGCTGCTGGCAGAGGACGAAATCCTTTTACTAGGAAGCAAGTTATTCACATCATCGTGACTCAAACACGAGGCAGAATTCAAATACTGGATTTTTGCCTACTTTAGGTTAGGGGAAAGAATCCCTGTCTGAACAGCTTGCTGGTACTGACATAACGACGCACAGATATTGATGTTTATTGTCTTTGTGATTCTCTATGGTTGCATGTGGTGTCATTACAAACAGAAGGATTGATTTTCTGGTTAGATGGTTAAATTTGTGTTGTAATTGCTAGGATAAAATATACTGACTAGATAAAAATCTTTCTGGCAATGTGCCTTGTGTTCTGATGTACTCCAGCTGCTAAGAACTGGAAAAAATTATTTCCTATGTGATCAGTATCCTAAAAGATATTTCACATACATCGTTAGATTCCAAATGTAGATGACTTCTATTTTTTGTAAAGTCATCTTAGACCAAATTGTGCTACTCTGACCTTTTCATTCCTACATGAAATGTCATTTCTGTGTAGTGCTTCCCTTTGTTCACATACACATTATTAGATTCTAGGGAATAGGGGGAAAAGGCAATCAGCTGTTTCACTCATGATTAAAGACAGAAGTTTTCTTTCACAGTTGTATAATTTCAAAAAGTTGTTCCTTTATTATTTCCAGATGGAAATAAAATTCTATATTGCACTTTTACTTCTAACTGAAATATGTAATTATATGTAGTAATGCAAAGCACTTTGTAAAAAAAAAAAAAAGTATTTATAAAAAACAACAGGAAACAGATGTTAAGCTTAGAATGTTGAGACACTGTAAAGTACAATTATGCATTAGCCCATGATGTCCTTCAAGTTCTCTCTGGGATATTAACTAATAGTTTTATTAAGTGATGAAATCTGGTATTCTGTGTGCAATCTGTGGTATGGGAAAATCTGTCAGCGTTGACTAAGTATGAGTGCTGAATGCATAGCTGTAATTTAATCAAACCTATGTGGGAAAGTACTTCCGTGTACATTTAGGCGTAGGGAGGATAAAAGGTAAGACTAGAACAATCTTACCTTAAAGTTCTGGGTTAGACTGCGGGGTATTTATACCTGTGTTACTTATATACGCTAAACAATTAATATCCCTCAGAAACCTGAATGCTTACAAAGTTTGGAAAATTGGTTTATCCAGTTTTCTGTTAAGTTCATTATTCTGTTTCCTTCTGAACTGCTCACCCCAAGTTTCTGGTTTTAAAAGGTAAATTAAAGAACACTAGTGGTACTTAGAAAATGAATGACAAAGCAGCAGAATGACACCTGAGTCATCAGGTATTTCTGTCTTGTGCATGTTTGGTTTGTGTTAATAATTTGTATTCTGTTAAATTCGTGAAGTTAATGATGATGATCCTGAAGTACTTCATGGGAAATCAGTTTATCGTTGGGGCCTTTGATTCAGGTCTATGCCTGAAAATAAAGGAATATATTCATTTGGACTTCAGTGCTTTAAGCGCACGTAGCTTATTTTGTGCAGCTTTAGATAGAGAAAGTAAGCAAAGAAAGGACTGCACAGTAGGAGTTGTTTGCAACCTTCTCTTCTCTAGAAGGAGCTTTGAGTGTCCAGAACATACCTGAAATCTATGACTCCAATAACTATGCTGTATTAGGATTTCCCGATAAGCAACATGTATGTTGTACATGCATTTCTGATAGGTATGACAAGCAATTTACTTTCCAAAGAATGCGTCGTCTTTGATATTGAGGGACTGATATGCATCTTCCTGAAACTAAGTGATGCAGTGGAATTATCTGTAATGTTTTCCAACTTAATCTCGTAGCTCTTGCTGCATGCAGGGACCTGTAGTGACAGTTGAAAAGTTCAATGCTGATTAATATCGACAAGAGTGACTGCAGAAGCCATATGATTTTATTTTTTTTAATGGAGGATAACTAAAAGAAGAGTTCTGACCAGGAAGTGTAGTTTCTCATTCTTTACAATGTAGGGTATCTTTAAAACAGGTAAATACAAGGTAGTTATGTTTGTTTTGTTTTTTTTAGTTGCTGCCTGCCTGCAAGGTGTGCCTAGTTTTGTACACAATTTAGAGGTAGTTATTATCATGGAAAGAGTCAATCCCTATTTTAAGGTTAAAAAAATGTGTTATTTAGTATGAACGCAAAGGCAAAAGAACCAAATCTTAAATTTTCAAATGCAATATTCCCTGTGTCTGTTCGGGATAGAAATCTGTTTTTTTTCTTATCATGTTATTCTCAGCCTTCCAGAAGCTGGAATACAATAACACTTTTGTAGTTAGAAATTCTAATAAATAGTTTATTACCTTCAAAAAGAATTCACAAAGTGATCACGGATTAAAAAGGCTGTTATTCAGAAGATGCCAAATTTGAGAGGAGTGAGAATTAATTTTCTCTCTACATTGTAGGGTAAGTTATTTTTAAGAACTTGGCAGATTCAGAAACATGTTATGAAACTTGCCTTTTATTGGTTTCTTATATCATAAATCTGTTTTTGAAGATTGAGTGAAGTACTTTGAACTAAGAGATAAGCAGAATAATAGGCTCGTGGTACATAGCTTAGGTTCCAGCCCTTTTGCCATTTCTCATAGTTTAGAAACGTATTTTATTACTGATAAGCAAAAAAAAAATCACAGATGACTGCTGGAATGGAAGTAAGTTTACAGTATTTTCTAAAGCTTAAAAGAAGGAAAGTTTTCCTCATTTTGTTACTTTATTTTACCGAACTTTTTCTATGCCATTTCATTTTGAAAATATATTTTAGCTGAACATCTAAAATTATTAAGGACATGGGCGAATGGTTCCATTTGAAGTGGACACATGAAATTTGTACGGATGCACGGTGGCCTTTTCTTTACTCTTTTATTCATAAAGCCAGCTACCCACAGCTTCCACGGGGAGCCAGGTTCACTGCACACAGCCTTTCTGTGCATCAGATTGTATGCCCTCCATTATCTGTATAGTTATTACTATGATGTTTAGTTTACGTGCCTGAGATAGAGTAGATATTCCACTGAATCATGTAACCACTTCTCTTAGCTAAGAGGATCTTAGACGAAAACTTTCAAAACTGCTTTCAAAAGTGATCTGAGAAGGTTCAGGTTTCGAATGCATATGTTTGTCAGATGCAAGTTGTGTGTTCAGAGAGCGTTTTTTCTTCTTGCTCTGAAAATCAGTGCTTTTAAAAGATGGGTACCCGAAAGTTAAAAGGCAGGAGGGTGTTTACCTTCTCTTTGAACAATGTAGGCCAACCTTATAGAAAAACAGAGAGAAAATTTAGATGCGTGACAAATATTGCTGATTAATGACCTGGAAAGAATTTATAAATAGTTACAGTTTAACAACTGAATAACTGTGGCATCAGTATGTGTTGTCAGACAGAATACCTGTGCTCTCAAAGAAAATGGGAGAAATGGTGTGGGTGATCCCGGCTGGAGCGTGCAGAAGGCACATGGCAGAAGAGTGGGCAGTGCAGTGCTTAGTCCCAGGCCGTGTCTGGTTGTGTGTGGAATATAGTTCTTTGTCCACGTTCACTTAATTTTTGCAGGGTAGAGATTAGCAGGTCTTATTGTACTGAATCGCATACAGTATATGGCACACAGAATATTGCACACAGTCTAGATTCTGTTTTGTCTCAACTTTTAAACTTTCTTGCTGGTCTCTATGTTCTTAGTTGAGTAAATAATACAACAGAAATGTGACCACCATATTCTAATCTCCATCTCATCTTCCCTGCCAGGCCTCAATCACAGGTTTGGTTTTGATTTGGAGGTTTGTTTGCCTTTTGCTATTATCTTTGCTTTATTTTCCATCTGACCTTTTGTATTTGTACAAAATGTATAACCTCTCTGCCTCTTCTCAAGTTTCACTCTACTTTCAGTTGCCCCCTGATAAATTCTATGCGTTTTATAGCCAAACACTTCTGATTCCTGAGTCTTTATTTCTGAAATAACACGGGTAACATATTTCAGACCAGTATTGGAGCTGGTTTGCAAGTGGCCAGATATATTTTAATTAGCAAATGGCCAACTTTAAGGATGCTCCAATTAGAGAGGTTCTCATATTGGTATATGAGAACTTATTTGACTCTGACAAGAAAGCAGCTAACCCTTGCCATCTTCTGAAATTGGAAACAGCCACTGTCTGAAAGCACCGACTTTCACAATACTTTGCCTCTAAAATTTTCTCTTAATTGGATAACCAGTACTAAGTAGGGAATGTCACTGTCCCTATCTCAAATGAAATGCAATCCCATAGCTTACTTTCCTTAAAAACAAGGTTGCTTCCTAATTTCACCTGTCCTTACTGTTTCAAACTGGGCCACTGCAGCTCAGTATTGTTTGGGTTTCAAAAGTATTACTACTGATACTTGCCTCGTATTAATTTTGAGGAGTTTTGTGTATTGTGTTCATAATGCTTTAAAGCTTTTATTTTTCTTTTTGAATAACTCTTAGGAAATGGCGAAGATTCTGAATCATCCAAGAGTATATGCTTTTCTGCACATACCAGTCCAGTCAGCCTCTGACAGTGTGCTCATGGACATGAAAAGAGAATACTGTGTGGCAGACTTCAAACAAGTAGTGGATTTCCTTAAAGAAAAGTAAGTTTACTAGTATTTGAGAAAATAACAGTGTTGGGTTTTTTTCAGTGTATAGAACATGTGGCTGAAAACACAATTATTTGCAACTTCATAATTCAGGTATGAAAAGGAATGAGCTGCTTTAAGCTTTGAAAGTCTTTGAGTTTTCTTTAAGCCCCTTGATGTGGTTTGCCCCTTTGCTCGGGCATTTATAAGCATCTTAAGTCTCTGCATGACATGCTTTTAATTTGTCAGTATATTCCTAATCTTTTTCAAATAATACATTCTTAAATTGTTTTTTATGCTTAAACTACTATATATAGACTGCTTGAAGTTAAAGTTATTGAAGTATTCTTTAATGTGGCTTTTGAGCATTGTATACTTTGTGTATTGGAGATGATCCAGCTCCAGCAAAAGTGAATGGGTTGGTTGGGTTTTTTTGAGTAAGAAGTATTTTATGTCCTATAGCTGATGTACAGTTATATCCATATAGTAATACTCTAATCTTGCTTCTGGGACTGATGATTTCTAGGATAGTTTCAAAATTATTTCCCTTAACGACAGAGCTAACACTGAGAAATAGAAGTGTGTATCCTAATGGATTGTTTACTTATGCTGGCCTGAAGATGGGAGAAGGGAAGTTACATTCACCTGCAAAGTTCTTGTAACTCCAAGTAATAATTTAATATTCAAGGAAGTCTTTTCTTAGCTTTTAGAATTTAATATTGACATATTTTGATGAATATTTCTACACCGATTTTCCTAAAAATAGCTGTCTGGAGAATTATTTCTGTCTCCTGGTTTGGCTGCTTTCACTGTTTATCTGCTTTTTTTGTTTGTGTGCTTGTTTTAATGAATTAAGGGGGGGTGGAGTTGTACTTTTGACTCTTACGTTACATTAAAATACTTGTACATAAATTTTCATAATCAATTTTTCATGATCATTAAAGATCTGGCAGTCTAGCTATGTAAAGCATGCCATGGAAGAGCTGCATGGGAATTATGATATGTAAGAAAGAAAAAGCAAACTGCATTAGAATAGAATCTGCTTTGCAAACTGTGTGTGTAGTTTATTGGACATTTCTATGCATCTAGGACTACTGATGGAAATGGAGCTGCTTGTCTCCATACAGATTCATTGGGCATTAATTTTCCACCCTAAACAATGCATACGAATTCTTGGCACTTAGTTTTTATGTGACTGTGGATGAGTGTTAGTTTTTAATTAACAGATATATTGTATTCCCACGTATCTTAAGTGGGAACTGTGTCGGTTTATGTTTTAGTTGACTTGAAACTGATTCATTATTCTCTTCAGTAGTTTTGATGTTGGCAGCTATTATCAAAACAGCAGCTGGATTTTCGATAACTTAGTAAAGCTGGCACATGTTGGGGCATATGGGAATTTATTAAACCATTCAGCTCTTGCACACAGAAAAGAGTAAATTACTTAATATCCAAATTTAAAACAGCTGGTCATTGAATATACAGTAATCTATGACATACGTCTTTTTCCACAGGCTTTTTTTGTAATGAACTTAACAAGGAAGAAATAATTGGCTTGATGTTGTATTTTTAAATAATAATAAAGTTTATTTATCCTGCTTATTAAGAAACTACAAGATTATCTAGTAGTTCCTGTTACAAAATAGTCTCCAAATACCGAGATGGAAAATTCTTTGTACCATATGGCAGCAGGATGAGGAAGCTATGCAAGGCAGAGAAAATGTTTTGGATATTTGAACATGTGCACATCTGTAAAACTAATAATTTTTTTTTTTCCTTTTGCACTTAAGAGCATAGAGTCTTCATTTGTAGTCTCTCCTCTTATGGCAGCAGCCAGCTATTACATTCCCATATAGATATTCCCATAAAGATCTCGGCACAAAGATTGCCAGGACTTAACATTGCTGCAGACAACTCCAGAGCCTAGAGCCAGAATAGCTAAAATTAAATATGTGTTTGAACTACTTTAATAGCCAAAAGGATTATTTCCATCTTCCATTTATCAAAAAGGAAAAATAAAACAAAAGTAGAACCTCCTATATCTCCTTTCGCTATTCATAGGGCCATAAAGTCATCCAGAAGCTTTCTATGCAGAGTGTACAGGGTCTTATCAGTAGATTCCTAATGGCGCATTCATCTCTAAAACATGACATCTGCTGTGGTAGTATATTCACTGAAAACTCTATTAAACCAATAATTCTATAGGCTGACCTGCTGAAGAACTACAGCCACACATCAAGGAACTATATGGTTATCAGCTAAGTGCTTAATAACTTGAGTTCAAACATCTAAGCAAATAAAAATGAATTACAGCAAGTAAAAAGGAAGGGAAGAAGGAAAAGAATGAGTATGTCATCTTTTTGATTTTGGAACCCTGAAGATATCAAGTGATTCCTGAATTTTTCTTGTATCAGTCAAGCCAATAAAATACTCAGGGTGTTTTTTCTCCCGGAAGGAGCAAACACCTTTCCTTCCTCTGTAGCGCCAGGAGTGACTGCAGAGGTATCTCCTTCTGAGAGTAGGTATTTATTCATATCCTGCTGAGCACAGAACGCCATACAGAGAAGCTGGAGTTCTCCAGAGCAGTTACTTTTTTTTTGTTGAAACTCACTTTTTAAAAGAATGGAGCATTCTAGACCCTCTGAAAATAGAATTCAGTCATGTGGCATTTTTCTTTCTCTTTGAGGACTCTTTCTTCAGGCAGGAACCCTAGAAATAAACTTCAAAAATGAATATTGATGTTCTGGTACATTCTTTTGATAGGCAACACTTTGGTTTTTTGAGCCCCTCTCTCCAGCCAGGTGACATTTTTTGTTTGTTATGAAGATCAGTAGCAAAATGTCTAGAATATAAACCCAGAAACACAAATCCATTAGACTGCAAACTGAAACATAGGGACCTATTTTATTGTTTTTTAGAAATTTCTTCTTTGATGTTTTGCACTCTTTTTTTTTTTTTTTTTTACTGAAATTTCATTAAGTTGAAGTATTCAGAAAAATACTGTTGTGCAGTTGATAAGTCGGTAGCTGACCTACAGATATATGTGTCTATATAATTATTGACGATATATTTGTAAACTATTCTAGAGAGCAACAACAAAGGAAATGAGGAAGTGCTGATTAATTTAGAAGGTGTTCAACTTGTACATAGTCTGTAGAGACCAGTCCCCTAATCTGTAGTCTTTAGGGACTAACGCAATAGTCTGGAAGGACTATTCCCAAGACTGATTTCTGGCTGAGATATTAATTTCAATGTGTTTGCAACTATAAATAGAGGAGCACTAGAAATTGCTGCTGAGAAAATTTAATCCAGAGACCAATTTAGTCTTATATCAGAAAGCCTTTTAATTGTGGTGTCATTATATCAAAATGTGAGTTGTTTTTCAAGTGATCTCAATTTTCAAGATTCAGCGTAGATTATATTTCTGAAAGGTGATGTTTGTAGTTGCAAAAAGAGCAAGACTGCTTTAATTATCTCAAAGTTTTGGAATTTAATCCCCTGAAATTTACTTTCACTGATAAAAGCAAACAATTGGAATATATTTTAGTTAAGGAAACCTGAGCTCTGAATGTCATATTCTGTAATTGCTTGGATAATCAGCAATATGAATATACGTCCATTAAAAAATCCTTAGGCTGGTAATGTGTTTTCCTAATTTCTTGTTTGATGTTGTTGACCATACTACATTCTCTGGTTTGTGATGCAATTACAATGTTCATCAAAGTTTATATAAATCTTTCCCTACTAGTGCTGCTTGATAAGATAAGAGAATTGTAAAACCAAGATCTAGACGAATTAAAAAAAATAAATTTAAAGCTAGGCTGAAAAACTATACCTTTCTATTTGGGGAAATAGCCCAATGCTGAGGGAAGGCTCAATTTGCCTCGCAATTTGTTTTTGTTTGCGTTCTGAGATAGAAACATTATATTAATTGTGGGTGGCTGCTGCTGTTCACTTGAGATTGTCTCTTAATTCATACTGGAAACATCTGATCTTTCCAATATAATCTGAAAGCCAGCAGACTTGGGCTGCCAGAGGGGAAAGCCTCAGCTCTGTCAGGCAGAAAGTTCTGTTCTTTTTTGCACTACTACTTCTCCTCTCCATTAAAATGAGGTTGTAAGCCTCTAGTAAGCCATCCTAGGCTCCAGTACTTTTAGTGGTAATCAAGAATCGAATTTTTCAGCACGTGTAGATAAATAATTACATGCAGTTGGAAAAAAGAAAGTAAAAGACCAAAAGTAAATGAGTGCAGTGGAAAATGAATCGCAAGCCTGGAAGGCGATTAATCACTCAGGGGTAAACTCAAATCGTAGCTACCCAGGAATTACAGACAACTGCTGAACGTCTGAAGAAACTGGAAATACTGTCCAAATTGAGAAAAGGTGTTCTATGGTCCTTTGGGACAGTTGGCTACAGGGAGGCTCTCTTCTTCTCTGCTGCTTTACAAGGAGTTAAGCCAAGAAATGGTAGATTCAGCAGCTTCCTAGGCCATTTCTTAATTCTGTTTTTAAAGATTTGGGGGGGACTGTCTTGTGTTTCTTTTGATCTGCCACGACTTTTGTCTCTTTTCTTGCAGCAGCAGGCAGGCTGCATCTGCTTGGGTGTTTAACAGGCTGCTTCAGGATAAAATCATGTGGCTAGGAGCAAAGTGGACTCAGCTCCTCCCAGTCATGCTGTATATCTACGTTAGTCTTAGTTTTCACAGCAATATTTGAGTCTCTGAATGAAACATTTCATCGTCGGCTTTCTCAATATAATTTTATCCATACTTTCAGTACGGCTGCTCTTGCCTTTCTGAGCAATTTCACAAGCAGTAGTTTATTTCCCAGGTTCTAGTCCTCTGTTGTGACCTTTTCCTTATCCTGGGCATCGTGGTGCATACCATAAAAGCTTATGTGGGCAATCAACTATTTATCATGGTCTCTATCTCTATTTCTTGTGCAAGTGAATGTCTTGCTATCCAGAAGTCTTCTGCTTCAAAATTTTCTCAAATTTCCAATAGCTAATTTTTGACT